AGTGTGACGGCAAGAGGAGAAGGGGACGACAGAGGATGAGACAGTTGGGCAGTGTCATCGAAGCAACCAAGATGAATTTGACACAACTACGGGAAGCAGTGGAAGATAGGAGGGCCTGGCGTGCTCTGGTCCATGGGGTCACAAAGAGTCGGACACAACTAAACGACTAGACGAGGCAAGACGAGTGTTCACTTCAAAGAATAGCTTTGCAGGGGATGAGAATGCTTTATTAATCAGTCACACCTCCATATACATCCAATTCCTAGTTAATTCCTAAATGGCAAAAAAACACAAATAACTGGGAACCAAAAAAAGAGACAGTACCTTAAAGTCTCCATTTTAAGAAACAAAATGTAGTTTTATTTCTCAAGAAACAACTTTCTGTAAACTTTTCACTGTGAAGAACCTAAGGTCAAAGCATATAAAACAGACCTAAGCCCATCAACAACATTTAACAACGTTCAGTGTGAGCAGTTATCATTACGCCAACGTAGGCAAAATCCTTGCACAAGTTGCTTTCTTCAAATACAAGGAACAACACTTTTATCTGATGAAAAAAGAAAACCTTGCAGCATGTTTGAGTAAGAAAAAATGTGAGCAAGTCCTTGCAGGAGTCTCATTTACTCCCGTCACTTCTTGGCGTAAGTGATCTTCATGGCATGTGAGGGAGTAATCTTAAATCCTTGGAGAGCATCCCGAGCAGCTCCTGCCTGTCCTTCATTTTCAAACTCCACAAATGCAATGTCATGTCTGCCGGGCACCAGACGGACTTCTTTGAAACCAGGGAACCTGGAAAGGGAAAGGATATGATCTTGTATTAGAAATCTATCACTTACAAGTTACGGAGCTTTTCTTACAGTTCTTTGCCTCAGAATTCATAATCTGGCCAAGTGAAATGTGCCAGAAGGAGGAGTTTATTTACAACACAGCAGAAAAATAAAGCACATCAAACAGTGGAATCACAAACCTGAGGCTGTTGGTTAAAAACAAAACCTTCTTGATTAATGTGTTGAACTATTTTTCAATGAATTTCAATTCAACAAATCACAATTCACATAATGGAATTTTCCAATGCTTCCAGGCCTTCCTGTTGATTTAAGTTAGCACAATGCTCTTTCTTAAAAACACAAGAAGTTGCAATATACCAAGTCAGACATCAATTCATCCACTCAACGTGTGGGCAATGTCCAGAGATACAAGAGTCACATATGCCACCCTAGGACCTTGGTGGGCTGCAGAGCTCCTCATAACATTCTTCTTTAAAAATAAAGCCTCCTAGGGTTTTTTTAAATTAATAAATGTTATGTAATAGCTCACCCTCAATTTCGGCGGCTTTATTTTTAAACATGAAAGAAAAAAATGTTTTGAGGAACTGGTTTTAAAAATAAACTAAAATATTGGGGTATATGAAGCGCTAGGCAGCACATTTTGCTCACCCTCAATTTAGCCCAATACTGTCAACACCTCTCCAGCCTTTCTGGAAAGGTTCCTTCCCTGTTCCACCTGAAGGTGCCAGACAGTGAATGAGAGACATTTTGCATACAGTCTATATGGGCTCTTCTATTGAGCAATTAATTAAGATACAGTAATAAACTTATCATTTATGCTTTGCATATTTTCTAGATTATTTTTAAAAAATCTGCCTTGAATTATAACATTTCAATGTGAGCGCTGCTGTTTCTGATTACTGAAGCTTCAATATAAACATGAACTCGCCAAGCTTAATTTAAGAGTAACAGTTTAATACAAAAAATTAAATAAATAGCAGAACAGAAAAAGCTCCAGAGCTCTATTACGGTGTCCTTCATGGTGCTCAGCACACACGAGCAGACAGGGTGCTCTATCCCTTGCCCTTCCATTGCCCTCCAATACACAGAGGATAACACATCTAAAGAGAGAGACTAACTACATTTCTGGAGACTCCCATGTGAATTAGGACCCGGGAATTATCAGCAAACTAATTCAAATTTTGGGTCCTGCTTTGTCCCAATTCCCATACTTCTATTCTAGCACAAAAGCATACAATTAATAGCACAAGAAGCCACCACAAGTGACAGAAGGTCAGGAGACTACATTCTTTCACTGTGTTTTGTGAGTAAATCACAACTACCCAATCCTGTGAGCTTAATATGTAGCTAGGTTCCACTGAGTCACACTCCCAAGTAAAAAATGTACAGAATCTTAGTTGACATGTTACTGGGAACAGATCATACACATTTGTAGAGGAACTTACTGATTAAACAGCATTGACAACATCATTTCATTTGTCTCTTCTGGCAAATTGTTGAGGAAAAGTATATAGTTTGGTGGATTATCAGGCACCTGCAACAAAACAATGAACAAGAGAACAAAAACAACTTTGCTTCATATTTATAAACTTTTACAATGCCACTATGAATATTTATAGGTACTGCTGTCCCAAAATGCTGCTACTTCTCTCCTAGATAAACGAATAGCACTGGAAACTGTACAAACAGCCCCCAAATGGTCCCGTGCCCCTCAAATTTCTAGATCAGTCAAGGAACTGAGCATAATCTACAGACTGAAGGATTTCTCCATTAAGAAGGGCTCTAGAATATAAACATGGTATCCACATGCTCTCATTCTTCTGTCCTGCAAAACATCCTCCTGATTATTACCCTAGGCTATGAACAGCTGTTTTGTCAGTTCAGCAGTATTTTCTGGATAAATAAATAAAAATTCAGGTTGTGCTGCACTGATATTCATATGTTGTCAGGGCTAAATCACAAATTGAACAATAAATTTTTATTGCACATTTTGCACTCATTCTTTTTATGCATAGTAATAAAGAGAATATTTAACATAGCAAAATCACCATAAGCAAATGTTAATAAAACAGTTACTAGTTTATCATTTATAAAAGTGGGCTGTATAGGGGAAAAATTGCTTAAAGAGGAAATGCATTCAATTATACATTGCTTCAAAAAACTGAATGCACCAATCTGAAACCTGTTACTTAAAAGGAGAATGACAGGAAGAATTACCTGCTGATTCTGTGAGGAATTGGCTTGGGCATTCGCTGGATTCTGATTTGCTCCCTATCAAAAAGCAAAAGCAAAATGTTATCATGATATATCCGGATCCACAGTGAGAACTAGAAGGGCTGACGTATATAGCTGCACTGCAACAGGATTAAATTGATAAAGAGCACAAACCACTGTAACTTTCAGGAAAGTTGCAGCTAGGAGGAAAAAAAGTAGCATCAGGTAGCTTCTAATTTACCAAAAAGTATCAGGGGCCTTCCCCTTGTATTCGTCTCTACCATTTTGTATTAAGCAAAAAAGATAGCATATTTTAGACGTACAGAATAGTTGGAAGACAGTATAAAATGCTGAGAAAAGTAAATCCCCAAAACTCTGTGCAATAAACTAAAGGCTTGAATTCCTTAAATACTTTTCTTCTGGCAACATCAGCAGTGCCCAACAATAAACAAATAGGCCCATCTGGGGATTTCTTTCCTCAGTCTTCTCCTATGCAGGTAACATGTCTTGTGGTCAAAGGGGTCAGAGATGTGACCAAGGAAAATGAATTTTTTTTGCTAACTTCAAATCCATGAAGTTGTAAAACACTAGAATTGCTGTTTTAGAAGAGGTAGCCATGTTGGTCTGTCCAAGCATATCAAGCAAAATGTTAGAAAAGCTGTAACTGTCAAACTAATTTATCTGCAATGTTCAAAGACAGAGAGATTTTCAAATAAAATTTTGCCGAAAGCTATTGTGTGTTGCTTTTTTTCTGTACTGTTCAAAACCTGAAAAGTTCAGGACAACTTTTTTAAAACAAAAAAAACCTGTTTCTGTATGCATCCAACATGATTATCCTATCATTAGGTAGTGCTATAGTTGGCCGCATAACTCAGTGGTTATTTGTTGTATGGATATGTTTAGGTATCTGGCTGCAGAGCTAGGGGTTGGAAGTTCGATTCCCCACTGTGCCTCCTGTGAGTAGAGTTAGCCTGTGGCCTTGGGCAAGCTGCACAGTTCCAGGATGTCCCCACAAGAAGGGAGGAGCAAACCACTTTTGAGCACCATCTCTCTGGAACACCCTGAAGAGGGTTGCCATAAGTCAGAATTGACTGGATGGCACTTTCACATTATCATTATTCCATTAGATGGTGCTATAAGCAAACATCAGCTTCAGAGGACTTATTTCCTTAACCCGCCACACCTCCCAAAAAGCCTAAACAGAAGATCTTACAGGTGTAGCTCACCTGATTTGGCTTTTTGTTTGCAGCATTGGCAGACTGTTCTAAGGACTTGGTCTTCTTTTTCTCTTTTTTCTTCTCTTTATCAGCAAACGTACCACGCATTTTTGAAATGACATCAGAGTCTGTTTTTGCATACTGAATGCGCTGTTCAAAACAGAAAATTCTGTTCAGCACATATTTCCATCACATGATTGAGAACAACCTGAAGGGTAAGGTAAAATGGATAGAGGCCCCAAATATCCACTTAACTCTTGAATGCATCCTCTTGTGCATCAAAATTTAGAGGGTCTCTTAGTCTGAACTAAGCCCACTTTTGCGATGTTTATTGGGCAGAACAGCATTTGAAAACGCCCTACTGGAGAATGACAATATCCTTAAAGCACTGGGAGCTAATCTCACCTGCCCACCTCTAATGGCATGCAACTCTAGACAGCACCCATGTGCTTCTCCAAACCAAAGACAGAGAGAAGGGCAAGACAGAGAACAGCAACTGTAAACTATTTTGCTTTCACCATGTATTTCTGTTCACTTATATCAACAAAGAATCTATGAAGATTTCAAAATATTATCTAAACTTAAGTAGACTAAAACTTTACTTCTAATTCTTTGAGGTATCAGAAAGTTGTTTAGAAGTTCGCCATAAATATGTTTTGGAATTGAGAATGCACTCTTCACAGTTGCTTAACTCACTTCATTAAACAAACACATAGTTTTTTATCCAAACAGAGGGAGAAAGCTTCTCCTTTCAATGAATATGTTTATAACAATAAAAATGAAACTTACAGCACGTTTATGTATCTATACAGAAGTCCCATTGAATATAGTGGAACTTACCAGTCAGGAAAGTGTACATAGAACAGGTTGGGTAATTCTGATGGATCCATGCACTAACTGTACTTATTCTCAGAACCTGCCAAAGGCTTCAAACATTCTGAATGCTGGATGCTACCAAAATTGAGCAGCAGAAGTATTTTTATACTGCATGCCTTACTTAAAACATGGCTTGAATGAAACAGGTGCTTTGTTTTACAGAGACTCACACTTCCTGGAAGTTTCTAGGAGCCCGGTTTAAAACAAGTTCTCTGCTTGCTCCACATCATGTTTTAATAAAAAATGATGTTTGAAAGTATTCCTGAAATTCAATTTGTGGAAGGGGGCTGCAAAACTACAAAAATGATTTGAAAGGAAAAGGATTTCTGCTTTTTAATCTAACTTTCAGCAATTCCTTTTCTAAAAGACTGCTATCATACAATCACTGGGGATGATTAAAACGCTTTATTTAGGTCAAAAGTATAGGTATGTTGAGACAGCAATGACAGGACTTGGTAGCATGACAACAAAAATAGTTTCTATATACAGGATGAAGCATTAAAGGATGAAGTAAAGACTAGAAGCTGTCAAGATACAGCTGCTGTTTCTGGGCAGAGAAAACAACACAAGATCCTCACATTACTGTACTCTTATTGTGTTTTGGAATAAAATTGAAAACTTACCATTGGTTTACCATAAAATGGAAAGCCTTGTAACTGTCTTAAGGCATTGGTGGATGATCCAAGTTCTTTAAATATAACAAAGGCCTGCCCTCTCATTTTCATTGTTTTTAGAGCCACAATGTCCACTACATGACCAAATTGTGAAAACAATGCATATAAAGATCTTTTCAGTTCTGTTAAGAGAAACAAAAGGAGAATTATATGACCTCTACCTAGTGGTTTCCAAGAAGCCATCTTGTCTTCAAGGTCAGAAAAGTGCTATCAGACTAAGAAACACTTACACCATATAAATAGAAATTGGGAGATACATGTCAACCATGTGGAGTAAGCTGCTATCATATCCAAAGATATGTTAAATGCTAACTACTAGTAGTCCATTTATTTTCTTATATTAGTTACCTTATGGTTTCTCTCACTGGCTCTTTTATCCCTCACTACAGAATTATATTTGCAACACCAGGAATATACTGCATACATGTCTACATACACCATTTCTCAATTCAGACTATCAGAACAATGAACAATTTATTTTCATACCTTCTTTTTTAATTTTGTCGTTAACATTGTTTATGTAAAGCGTGTGGTTTGGTCGAATATCCATCCTCTACTTTCTGGCAATGTGATCTGGAAAGTAAGGCAAATTATTTAGCACATTTATTTTCTATTTCTCAAAACGTACTGTAAGAGTTATTCTTTTTTCATCCTCCCCTCATTCTGTGAGGTATGTGAGGCAGAAAACCAGTGACTGACCCCAGTGCACCCATTCAGCTATGTGGGCCACCAATGCTAATATTTATTTCAATTTAATTTAAAACACTTTCCCGCTTTTGCCCTGAGGAGCCTCACAGTGGAGCAGCATATAATATCTGAGAATCGCCACCAGCAGTTCCACTGCCAGATGGGAACAACCAGCAGCTACCCACTGGCCATTTTCCAATATTAAAGAATTCCTCTGAACCTGAAAGGAGGAATAGGAAGCTTTAAACTAAAATAAACTAAATATTAATGTCACTGGGTGATTTCATCATCATCATCATTTATTTACACAGTGGAAGTCATCATCATCATCATCATTTATTTATTTACACAGTGGAAATACACAACAGGATTTCAGCCAAAATGTTTAAAATGAAAAATCATGGAGTATCACAGTTGCACTTCAAATTTTAATCAAAAATAAAAAGGTAAAACTCCAATTATTAGTGATTATAAGGCACCAACAGGATGGACATGCTATTGAGCCTTGGAAAAATCAATTTATAATGTAAATATTAATTTATTCTATAGGACTGGTATAAAAACTGTGAGAAACATAAATGAAATACGCTGAATATATACAATTGACCCAAATCTTATTGGTGTTGACATAAAATATACGTTAGATGACATGGCTAACTGATGAGGTGCCAGAGTGTATCTCAGCTGTTTTGTCAGGTACATGAGAAGGCACACAACCAAGATGTGCTGTAGCACTGTGTCAATTAACCACAATTAACAGTGGCAAATCACACAAACCTTACACAACATCCATATGATTTGGGCTATTACTGTATATCAAAACACCACAATCACCAACTGGAGGAAAAGCAGAAACCAAATCAAACAAGCACAACATCATGAGCTGTACTTAACCAAAAAACTGTCCCTGTGAACTGAGGAGGGAGCAGTATAAAGTGTTGCTGTTTAGTTAAGGAATAAATTTATCGTGCCCCAACACAGGATGCACTCAAAACGAAAGGATGGCCAGGGAAGGTGCCCGTCACTCTAACCTTCTGTTCCACCATTTCTGCTCCTTTAAAAATAAAGGTAAGAGTAATTAAAAGAACTGGTGGGATGATGTGAAGGTGGGTTATGAGAAGTGGAAGAGAGTGGCACCATTTTGCTATCTCTGAGAAGTAAACTTTACCCAAAGACCCCTTCACTGTCCTCTCTCCCTGCCCACATGATTCATGCACCAGGACTGAAGCGAAGTTCATAAGAGAGATTCCCCCCCCCTTAGTGCTCTCCAAGATTGCAAAGACGCCAGATACATTGTTTAAGGAGAAGCTCTTCAAAGGCACAATTCTCCATCTCTCTCTCTTTGAGAGCTGCTTCCCGGAAGCTAGTGGTTCCCCACACCTCCCATGAGTCAGATTAAAGCCATACCTCCCATGAGTTAAGGTGACCTGTCCCCATGCCCCTCCCTCCCATCTCTGGATAACTAGTCAGGGTCTTTTCAAGGAATGGCCAGCATTCTGGGCCAGTGAACACCTGCCTGCCTTCCATCAGCCTTCTCAGTGTCTCCAAGATGGATCTGGTCCAGCTGGGAGCCATAACTCACACCTGGGAATTGTCAAGAACGTTAGAACTTCTTCAAAAATCTCTAGTGCCTCTTTGTTTTCTAAATCCAGCCTGAACATTTGTTGCACATAGGCAGGCGAAGGGATGCTTTGTTGCAAAACCTTGAGGATCACTTTGCTTCCATGGCAGATTAGTGCAGTGGTCCTACAGCAGTGGTTCCCAGTCTTGGGTGCCCAGATATTCTCGGACTGCAACTCCCACAAGCCTCCACCAACGTGGTGGTACAATCCCCACGCCGGGTCGCTCCGTTCCTCCAACGCGCAAATCGCAAGCTGTTCTCCTATTCGCTCCACCTCCTTCCTTCCGTTTCCGGCCGGGCCCCAAAAGATCCGTGGAAGTCCCCTGAATGTCACTCCCACCACAGGCACTTCCGGTAGTTATTTGATATTCAAGGCGCGCGTGAGCTTTTGCTATAGAGATGTCGGGGATAGAGCGTCGACTGGATCGGGCACCGTTGTGTACGAACGCATCGTAGAGTTAAGGGGGCACGAAGTACAGCTTAAACTTCAGGTAACAAAACGGAGTCTCGACTTTGGCCATAATACGAATTGCGGAGGCCAAGAAAGGTCTCTCGCTCTCCCGCAGGGACAAAATCTGGTTATTTTATTTTGGAAGCTAGAGCAGAAACCAGTTCAGTCTTAGATTGAAAATGTAACTCCGGTCTTTCTTTCTCCCAAACGAGGCAACGGGATCGATCGCAGAGGGCTCGATGGGCGAGCGGCTCAGTCATGGACCAGTTCGCTCGTCATTTTCTCCGCTTTGCGCCTGTTCCTCCTCCAGTCTTTAGAGATAGAGGTGGATGATTCCCCTCTGGCTCAGGAATGATCGTGACCCTTGCCAGGGTTTTCTCATTGCAAAGCCTTCGGAAGCGATTGACAGGATGGCTCAATGTGCCATTCCAGGATGCAGCCCTTGGGAAAGGGAACTTTGTTAGGAAAAAAAAACGCTTGGAGCAGTGATGTTCCACTTTTTGCTATTTTAAGATGCAGAAGAGAGAGCCCTGTTCCTCCGTGCAAGCAGTATAGATAAAAGCAAAATAAAAGAGCAATAAAAGAACAAAAACTTAGTGGCGCTTTACAGATTATTATATTTTAATGTGAGCTTCTGTGGACAACTATGCTTCCTTATTTTAGACTAGAATTTCCAGTAAGATCAGATAGCATAGCCCCCCCGTCAGGGATTTGTACAGCTGAAGATTATTTATTACTTATTTAAAATATTTTTTTATCTGCTGCTTTGGGTTCTTTTAAAGGAGAAAAAGAACCCAAGGCAGCAGATCAAATGTCGAAAAGCACTGGTTTAAGAGTTTACCTACTGCATGGGGCACAGGGTCAGGAGAGAAAGTATTGTGGCATAAGCTTTTGCGTGCCAGGAAATGCACAGCTTATTCCATAATAAATTTGTTGGGGTTTCCCCTGTTGGAAGTAGGGTAGCAAACACTTGTTTCAGGAAGGCTTGTGAAACAGTTTCAATTACTCTGAATAAGTATATAATTCAGATTTCAGAACATTTCTCTTGGAACAAGCTGAGTCCAATTGCACACACTGGCATTCGACTTTAGTAATTAGTAGTCTAATTTAGCATTAGTAATCTAACACACATTTTTAGAAAAACCCATCAGTTTTGTTAAAATAAGCTTGCTGTCTGATGTAAAATTGTTTTTTGTTTGTTTTTTTGTCAAGATAATTTCTCACCCATCTTCCCACTGAGGCCTCCAAACAATAAATATGCAAATACTATTGCAATGAAATTAAACTAAGCATGGATAATGTGCAGCAGAAAATCAACAGATCAAAAAAAAAATAACTTGAGGGAAAGGAAAAGAAAGGTTTCCCTCTACAGCAGAGACAGTCATTTGATGCCATTATAGCAGAGAAGAACTTCCTTCATACTACTCGCCTGGTTCTCACCAGAAAAATAAATACAAAGGAAGATCAGATCATCTTTTGAAATTAAGAGTAAAGATGATGAAAAGGCAACAGGCTTCAGGATTTTAAACCAAAATACTTGTTATTTTTAATAAACAAATGCCACACCGAAGATGAGACTCAGCACTTTAGAATGGAGCCTTCAGGCACAGTTCTGCTTATGCTCCTCTACTTTTTCCAGCAAAAGAGCTATGGCATTCTAGACTTATGAACTTGCACTGAGCTACAGCCCTGCCAGAAAGTTGGGGCTTTGTTGAAGATTTTGGAAATGTGCTTCTTCCTCTGCTTCCTGGAATCATAGGACTGCAGCCTGATTTGATTATGCAGTGGTGCCTCGCATTATGATGTTAATTCGTTCCAGCGAAATTACTGTAGAACGAAAACATCGTAAAGCGAAATTAAAAAGCCCATAGAAACGCATTAAACCCATATATGCGTTCCTATGGGCTTGAAACTCACAGTCCAGTGAAGATCCTCCATAGCGTGGCCATTTTCGCTGCCTGTGCAGCAAGGAATCCGTCCCAGAAAAGAGCAGGGAGCCATTTATTTTTTAACCCGGTGCCCATTTTGAAACTCCCGATCAGCTGTAGGAAAATCATCATTTTGTGAGAATCGGTTCCCGAAGCAGGGAACAAATCATCGCCAAGTGAAATTCCCATAGGAAACATTGTTTTGCGATCGCTTTTGCAATCGCAAAAACTTCATCGTAATGTGATTTCGTTGTAAAACGGAGCGCTTGTCCTGCGGGGCACCACTGTAATTGCATGATTAAATACACCTTACTACCTTAATGAATACAATGAAGTTGGAATAGAGAGTTACCAACTCTTATGACATATCTGTCTGATTTTATTTTTGTTCTGAAAGCCTGTTCTATATGTGACAAGGGCAATCATGGCATGAAATGTTACAATCTGAAAAGCAGCCTACCTCTTGAGGCAGTTCAAATATTCAAAGAACCCTAAACTGTCAGTTCTTCTATGAGTATGGGCGGGGGGTTTCCACCTCATCCATGGCCACATGGCATAAACAGCTAGAAATTCATTTGCTGAAGCACCCTAAGGCAAGAAGGGAACTTCTGCCTGCCTGCCATCAATGCCACCTCCTGCCTTCTGAACAGCAGCACAAATCTGCCGGCACTCCTTGTCACTGGCTACAGCCCTAAATGCCTAGCCGTATAAGTGCCACATGTCAGCATCACAGATGTCCTAGGACAGTGATGGTGAACCTATGGCACGTGTACTACAGCTGGCACATGAAGCCCTTTCTCCTGGCATGTGGCAAACCTTTTGAAGTAGTTGCAGCTACTTCTTGGTCCTTTAACTTCCTGTCCGTCCCCATGATTCCTCCTGAAACTGCCACTTCCTGTTCCAGTTCTGGTCTTTCGGGCAGCACGGCAGCCACTGGTTTGTTCCCCACCCCCTCATTTTGGGCAGTTGAGCAGACAAAGTTTTGCCTCCATTGGACTAGTGGCATTGTAAGGCAGGAAGTGAATATACAGTAGACATCCTGAATGATACGTTTCGGTTTAGACTGATTTCAGGATATACCACCTAAAATTCTTTGTTTTGAAGATCCCACAGAGCTAGGTATTTGGGGCTGTGCCACCTCCAGTGAACAGGCCATGCCTGATAGATGGGCCAATTCTGTTAGCATATATGCGTTCTAGCATTTTTCTGCATACGAGTTGTATTAAGACAAGAAAGTGTGACTATAAAAAACACTCTGGTTAGGTTATGTGCCATCAAGCTGCAATTGACTTATAGTAACCGTAATAGGGCTTTCAAGGTAAGGAAGATATTCAAGGGGTTATAACCAGTTACGTATGGGCACAGAAAGAGAGAGAGAGTTTCCATTGTCAAATGGGTATTTGAACTCTGCCACTGTCCACTGTACAACGCTGTGTATCTTACGAATAACTACACTTAATTAAAAGATTGGTAAATATTTAACTTCCATGTGACTTCCCTGTTGTTATTGTGCAGTGCAATCTTACACGTGTTTAGTCAAAGTCCTGATATATTGAATGGGGCTTATTCCATAAGTATGTGCAGGTTTGCAATCTTAGAGAGATAAAGAATAGGAGATTAGTTATATAATAAAACATTTGCAGATGAATGCACCATGAAACTTTTTCTTATTACTGTTTCCCCTTATGGGATTAATACGTGAGTCAGCAACTTTTGAACAAGCAGCGAAGGCAGCAGTTTAAAAATGCCTACAGAATCAAAGAATGTTTATTCAGTAAAACTTGTCTTGTACTATTGAAAAATAAAGATTATAAAAATATTTTGTTTAATTTTGTTCAAGTTGCCCACAGGAATAAACATTCCTTTCCTCAAGGTACAAATGACGAATGCTTGGGATCGCTATATTGGCTGGCAAAATAGTTTCGTGTGCATGACTGAGCAATCTAGATTTCTTTTCTCTTTTAAAATTGTGTTGTTCTTTCTTGAAAGCAGTTGGAAATCATTGGTGTTTTTCGCTCTGAAATCTGCTGACACACAACTCCTCATACACAAAATCAAGGCTGAAATTTACAAGTACATCCCCTTGTCCTGGTCAAACAGAAGGCAGTTCATGGTGTCTCTCCTGCAATTCATTAATCGCCTATGCTTTTCTGAGGCCTGCTAGATAACCAGAGGTTGTCAGTAATAATATGATTGGAAATATCGGTGTTTTTGTGAAATTTGGGAAATATAAATGGTACATCATGCCACTGTGCAAGAACGCAGCAAACAAAAGTGTTCTGGACAGAATAATTGAACACATTTCCTTCAGGGGAAAAAAACCCTAGAAGGCATAGGTCAATGCTGTAAAAAAAAAAGCAGCATCCCATTAGAACCAAAATCTGAGGTGAGGCAGCAGTCCCTTATGATGTCACAGAACTGAGGGTTGGGAGGAAAGGCCAGAGCTACTTGTGGCCCAGGTGATTGCAGAAGAAGAGGAATCTGGAATATATCTGAAGATTCTCAGTCATCCAGTTGAGATAATCTGGAAGCTGAGTCATGGCAACTAAACTTCTTTCTTGTTAGGTTGAAACGTTTCACTACTCAACCTAGTAGCTTATACACAGAGGAATCTGGACAACTCAGTCCAGAATTCTGGTAAATCCAAGCCAGCTGGGTAATATGGCAACCTAGGAGCCAGGAGAATATATTTCAATAGTCAGGCAA